GTCTCCCCTCGCATCGCCTCGCTGCCCATCCCCGTAACCGCACCGTAGGTCCCCGAGTCTATCCCCACCTCACCCCCTCGGGCACCCCTGGCCCCGCAGCGGCTCCGAGCGCGCCCACCGGTCCCCCCATCTTCCAGGGCCCCGCTCCCGCCAGCGAGCCGCGAACCCCGGCCCCCTCTCACTTCATGGCGCCGGTCGCGGCTGGAAGCGGCGTCAGCCCGCCCCCCTCATGAATATTCAGTGAGGCAGGGCCCACGGGGCGTCCTCGAGGCGCCGCTCCACCTTCCTCACAACGCCATTGGCAGATCCCGCCCGTCACTCCGCTGGAGTGGAGCCAATCGGGATGATGCGCGTGCGCACGGCAATGCGGGGGCGGGCTCCCGAGAGAGGCCCGCGCCGCGGAGGGATCACCGAGGACCAAGAACAAAACAGGGAAGGAAGAGAACCGAGAGAATCGATCCCATTCATTAGGATTTGGTCTTCCGGCTTCTGCCCAGATTATCTGAGGAGCAGAGAGAGTCTAGGGGGAAATGATAGGGAAATTGGGGAGTTAGGAATGGCTTCACCGTACCAGACAAACATGCACTTATAAAATACCTGCTGTGTCCTAAACTTCTCTGGGATTAATAACTCTCCTCATTTATTGAGCTCCTACTCTTTGCCACATACTGTCTTTTTTTTTTTTTAATATATTTTATTGATTTTGTACAGAGACGTAGGGAGAGAGATAGAGAATTAGAAACATCGATGAGAGAGGGTCATCGATAAGCTGCCTCTTGCACACCCCCTACTGGGGACATGCCCGCAACCAAGGTACATGTCCTTGACCGGAATTGAACCCAGGACCTCTCAGTCCCCAAGCCGACGCTCTATCCATTGAGCCAAACCAGTCTTGGCTGCCACATACTGTCTTAATCAGGCAGTAATACCAAGGCACTGTGGTTTGGTGGTTAAGTTGTGGACTTTGGAACCAGAATGCTTGGGTCCAAATCCTGACTCTACTCCACTACCTGCATGACCCTGATATTACTTAACTTCTCTGGTGTTGCCTTTTCTTATATTCGAAGCATGTAAAATTAGGTTATCTACAGTGTAGGTGACACTTAAACTAACCCACATAAAGCTGCTAAAACTGGGTTTAGCACATATTAAGATTTCAATAAATGCTCGCTTTTATGTGTTTGCTTCAGAAATAGCTGTGGGGCGCCCTAGCAGGTTTGGCTCAGTGGATAGAGTGTAGGCCGGTGGACTGATTCAGTCAAGGGCATGTTCTCCAGCCATGGTCGGGCTGCATACTGGAGGCAACCAATCGATATGTCTTTCTCACATTGATGGTTCTCTCTGACTCTTCCTCACCTTTCCACTCTCTCTAAAAATCAATGGAAAAATATCCTCAAATGGCCGAAACCGGTTTGGCTCAATGGATAGAGCGTCGGCTTGGGGACTGAAGGGACCCGGGTTCGATTCCGGTCAAGGGCATGTACTTTGGTGGAGGGCAGTGCAGGAGGCAGCTGATCGATGACTCTCTCATCAATATTTCTAACTCTCTGTCCAAAATCAATAAAATATGTATTAAAAAAAAGAAAAAAGAAAAAAAAGGAAAAATATCCTCAAATAAGGATTAATAAAAAAACAGCGCGCGCGCACACACACACACACACAAAACAAAACAAAAAACCAGCCTGGCTGCATGGCTCAGCAATTAAGCATCAACCTATAAACCAGGAAGTCAGGGTTTGATTCCTGGTCAGAGCACATGCCAGACTTGATCCCCAGTAGGGGTGTGCAGGAGGCAGTCGGTCAATGATTGTCTCTTATCATTGATGTTCCTCTCTCTCCTTCTCCCTTCCTCTTTAAAATCAATAAAAAAATATCCTATATAATCAAAGCCTAATATGCAAGTGCGTAGATCAAATGGTGGAAAGACTAGTCGCTATGATGTGTACTGACCAGCAGGGGGCAGACGCTCAATGCAGGAGCTTCCCCAGCCCGCAGGCCCCCAGCCAAGGCAGGTCTTCAGCTCAACTTACAATCTACCACCAAGCTCACGGGGCGCTGGCAGGATTCATTTCCTTGCTGGATGTCAGCAGGGAATTCTCTGAGGCCCCTGGCTGGCTTCATCAAAGCAAGAAAGCAAGCAGAGCCAGAGAGAGGGGAACAGATGGAAGTCACCGTCTTTCATAACCTAATGTCAGAAGGGACAGTCCATCGCTTTTGCTGTATTTTATTCCTTAGGATACGTGACTGCATGCAGCCCGTGCGCAGGGCGGGGTCACTCCAGGGCGTGAACACAGGAGGCCGAGGGTTGGGAGCCATCTTAGAATGACTGCCTCCTCCTCCTCCTGGCCTTTGTAGTTGCTCCTCCGTCTGTCTGGAAGCTTCTTTCCCAGATCTCTGCGTGGCTTCCTCCCTCAAAAGTCCTTTCCTCTCTGAGGCCTCTCCTGACCACCTTATTTGGGTTGTCATATTCTCTGGGCAGGCTGAATAATGGTCCCCAGAGACCTGCAGGCACTGATCCCTGGACCCCGTGAATGTCCCCTCACATGGCAAAAGGGACTCTGTGATAGATCCTCCCTTCCTCCAACTGATGGAAGGAAGTAAACTCCACCTGCAGCCGGACATTCCTGAGCACTGAACCAGCAATCAGCACCTGCCAAACACCCTAAGCCCCCGATTCCTAAGTCCCTAGGTCCCTCATCATAGGCCTTACATGGAACCACCAATCAGCGTGTGCTGAGTGCCCTAAGCCCCGTCCCCTCTCTATCCTCCCCTTAAAGGTGCTTGTACCCCGGCCCTCACTCGCTCTCTTCTGTTCTCTCTCTGGAAGCAGCCGGCAGTGGATCTCTTCTCTTCAATAAAGCCTGTGTCCTGGCATGCCGGTCTCCTGCCCTCTCTATTTCATCTTTCACTTCGCGGGTGTGACAAAGCTAAGCAAGTGCTCCCTAACTGTACAGGGTGACCCTGAAGGAGGACGCTGCCTGCAGGCTTTGAAGATGGAGGAGGGGAGGGGGGGCAGAGGCAATGAATGCAGGGAATGTAGCTCTGGAAGCTGGAAGAGGCCAGGGAACAGACAGATTCCTCCCGGAGACCTGAGGGCTCTCAGCCCCGCCAGCACCTTGATGTCAGCCCAGCGAGACTGAGTTCAGATTCCTGACCTTCGGAAGTGAAAACAAAAGTAAGTGCTTTTTTATTATTGTTGATTTTTAGAGAAGAAGGGAGAGGGAGAGAGAGAACCATCGATGTGAGAGCCAAAGATCAGCCACCTCCTGCATGCCCCCGTCTGGGAATCGAGGCTGGCCACCTGGGTATGTGCCCCGACCGGGATTCCAACCGGTTATCTCTCACTGCAAAGCTGAAACATTTCTATCGTCTGGTGACATCAGAGCCACCTTAACATGTAGCTCATGCATTACTCACGTGTTTGTGGTGATGCTGGAGTCAACACACCGACTGTGCTGCCAGTCATATAATAGTATAGCACAGTACGTAATACTTGCTAATGACAGTAAATAACTCTGGTACTGGTTTATTATGCCATTTTTAAAATTTTTTATTGTGTTTTTTACCGAGTGGAAGAGAGAGGAATAGAGAGTTAGGAACATCCATCATCTGCCTCCTGCACACTCCCTACTGGAAGGTACTGGGTATGATCCCACAACCAAGGTACATGCCCTTGACCAGAATCGAACCTGGGACCCTTCAGCCCACAGGCAGACACTCTATCCACTGAGCCAAACTGATTAAGGCATATTATGTCATATACATATTTTTTATTTTAGAGTGTACTCTTTCAATTTATTAAAAAAAAAATAAGGTTTGCTGTAATACAGTATTCTGTGTTACACCAACAGCAGCCTCACACATCTCCTTTACCTTGTCTCTCTTTTTAAAAAAACGTTTTTATTGATTTTGAGGGGGAGGGAAGGGAGAAGGACAGAGGGAAAGAAACATTGATGAGAGAGAAACACCATTCATCAGTTGGCTGCCTCCTGCATGCCCTACCCTGGGAATCAAGTCTGCAACCTGGGCATGTGCCCTGACCGGGAATTGAACCAGTGACCTCTCGATTCATGGGTCAACACTCAACCACTGAGCCACACCGCCGGGCTACCTTGTATCTTGATAGCATCATTTTCTTTTGTGCTTGATTTAATCTCATGTTGTTTTGTACAGTCACAAGCTGCAGAGCCTGTAGCATAGCTGCGGTAGGCTAGATCAAGTAACCCAGCTATGTGGTAGACGAGACCATCTAGGTTTGTGTTGTGTTGTGTGCACAACAATGACATTGCCTATTGTTGCATTTCTCAGAAGATATCCCAGTTCTTAACAGGTACAGAGAGAATGATGGGCTCTCAGGAACCCACTGCAAGTCCATTCAATGGGAACAGAAACCAAATCATTTATAGGTTAATTTATTTTTATTAATTTATTTTTAATATATATATATATATTTTTTTTTACAGAGAGGAAGAGAGAGGGATAGAGAGTTAGAAACATCGATGAGAGAGAATCATCGATCAGCTGCTTCTTGCACACCCCCTATTAGGTATGTGCCTTCAACCAAGGTACATGCCCTTGACTAGAATCGAACCTAGGACCTTTCAGTCCACAGGCTGACGCTCTATCCACTGAGCCAAACCGGTGTCGGTGATAATTTTTTAATGTAAGATGTGGATACATGGATGATGTTCTTTCATTAGTCTCTGCTTTCGTAGAATTTTGAAAAATTCCAGAAATGTTTATTATCAACAGTACCCTAGTTCACTGTTCACATCTCAATGCTTAAAATATTAAAGACCATAAATACACATAACTCCCTCTGAGCAAGCTTTTCTGATTTATTTCACTCTCAGTGCATGTAGAGAGGACCTCTATCCAGAATTTAGGGATTTTTATTCTCTTCTTTAAGCTGGCTCCTACTATTAGAATAATCACCTCGTTCCCCATTCTTTGTGATTTTTAAAAATTCAATTAATTTAAACTAAAATAAAACCAATCTACTCATTTTTGTTTATTAAGGATAGTTTCACACAGACACCTAAGTGGAGAGAATAATATAAGAATGCTCCACATACACTAAGCTTCATCCGTTTTTAACACAGGGCCCATCTCGTTTGCCTACATGCCAGCCACTTCCCCTCCCACTGTACCCAGAACCCAAGTCTGGCTACCTGCTGCCAGAGAAAACCAGACTCCCGAGACAAATGCTGGTGAGAAAGGAGAGGTTTATTCAAGTGCCGGTCACCTCAGGTGATGGGGGACCCTGATCAGAAAGCCCACTCCCTATCTCAGTGCAGGCAGAGGTTTTTATAAGGCGGGAGAGGCAAAGAAGAACAAAGAAACAAAGGGAGGCCGCTAAAAATTCTCTGCGTACAGGTCAGCGCCATCCACTCCTATGAGGAATCTCAAAGAATCAGTCAAGTGACAGTCTGGTATGCGTTATCCTGGTCTCTGTCATCCTGGTTCCATGGCTGAAGGTCAGAAAATTTCTCAGAACTGCAATGACTAAAGGTCAGAGTCTGTATCTTCTGAAATTAATTCCTAAGATTCTTTTACAAACATGCTGTTTTTCTACAAGCTACTTAGTAGAGTCATCATTTACAGAAACAATGTCAAAAGAATGGTGGGGTGGGTTACAATCCCCACTGTTACAGCACCAGTCAATTATTGTCTTTAAATGTCTTTACTGAAGAGAGAAGGGAGAGGGAGAAGAGGGTGGTGGTGCTCATGTTGCACAGCAAATACAATGATGTAGCTTTATGATTTATCAAAAACTACTCAGGTCGAAACCGGTTTGGCTCAGTGGATAGAGCGTCGGCCTGTGGACTGAAGGGTCCCGGGTTCGATTCCGGTCAAGGGCATGTACCTTGGTTGCGGGCACATCCCCAGTGGGGGTCGTGCAGGAGGCAGCTGGTCGATGACACTCCCATGGACGTTTCTAGCTCTCTATCTCTCTCCCTTCCTCTCTGTAAAAAAATCAATAAAATATATTTTTTTTAAAAAACTGCTCAGAAGAGATAGAAGCTCATGCTTTGTCAAAGGTTTTTATTTTTTAAAATATATTTTTATTGATTTTTTTTCAGAGAGGAAGAGAGAGGGACAGAGAGTTAGAAACACTGATCAGCTGCCTCCTGCACACCCCCTACTGAGGGATGTGCCGCAATCCACCGAGCCAAACCAGTTTCAGCAAAAGTTTTAAAATTTTTATTGATTTCAGCCAAAACTGGTTTGGCTCAGTGGATAAAGCACCAACCTTCGGACTGAAGGGTCCCAGGTTCGACTCCGGTCAAGGGCATGTGCCTTGGTTGCGGGCACGTCCCCAGTAAGGCATGTGCAGGAGGCAGCTGATCAATGTTTCTCTTCCATTGATGTTTCTAACTCTCTATTCCTCTCCCTTCCTCTCTGTAAAAAATCAATTAAAAAAAAAAAAAGTGGCACATTCTTCAAGGTCATACTCTCCACAAGGCCACACGGATTTCTGGTGAAGCCTGTTGGGAAGGATCTCCCAATCCATGCCAACACACCGGAGGAAAACAACCCCGCAGGAGGCAGAACCAGCAGACAGGGGGGCAGGGGTGATGGCCCAAACACCAGGATCACCGGACCTACCACTGCGCTGTGCTTCAGATGCCTACAGATGTTCGAGAAGAACCAAGAACACGAAAAAGGATCAAGGCGCTACCAAAAACAAAAGCACAGGCAGCTGACAGAGGAAGGACGGGATCCACACGAGGGACATCGCTCCGAAGGAGGCCACTTTGAGACTGCTCTGCCAGAAACGGTGACGGTGACGATCGCTGATTAAGCCGGAATGGGATCCAAAGAGAAGGAAGCCGATTTCTGTGCAAACTACCTTTATTTATAAAGAAGAACGCCCCCATTTTGTTATCAAACCAGCACTGTGTGAAGGCACTTGGTCGGTAGGCAGGTGCGGGGTGGGGGTGGGGGGAGGGTGCAGCCATTCCGGTGGAGAGATCAGGGTGCCTCACCGGGGCCCCCCAAGGCCGCTGGGAGAAACGGGGGCAGAGATGACTCCCAGGTGAAGCCACTGGAGGTGGACCCATCCCACTGGGGTGATGGGTTGGCTTGCTTTGAGGGACAGTTAGGGGTGGAGGGCGCTTTGGACAGAATCTGATTTGGCCAACGGGGGGCTCTCTTTTGCCCCCCAAGGACCTCCCCCAGGTAAGGCAGGTTCCTGAACGTAAGGCTGGGGTTCTCCCTCTCCCCGGGCTCCCAGGAGAGCGGAGCGCTGGCGGGAGGAGCCCACCCCCCTGCGTGGGGTGCGGGGCGGCGCAGCGGTAACCGATCGCGGTCTGAGCCAAGGCCACGCCGCCTCCTCCGTCTTCCCCGAAAACGTCCTTCTCTCCGGCTACACCTTACTCCTCTGAGCCTTCACCCTGGGGAAGAGCTGAGGGAGACAAGAGCTTCAGACACCAGGAGCACCCACTCCCCCCAATTGGTGGGAGTCGCCTATCCACCCCAAACATGAGACAGGCTCCATCATCCCATTGCTCTGGAGCCCTCCGAGTCCCGGTCACCGTCAGGCACCGCACGGAGCCCGCCAGTCAGCAGCCTGCTTGCTGAGCTGGAAGGTTCTGAGTCCCCCACCCCGCCTGCCTCTCCCCCGCCCCGTGGCTGACTGGCTGGGACCCGCCTCCACCCACCCCCAAATCAAAGGAATCTCCTCTCCCAGACACCCTGGGATCCTCCTGGTCTCCTTCACGACCCTTGTGGGATCTCTCCCTCAATGCTTCCCTCGTTTTGTTAACGGATTCTTCCTCATCCTGCCCAGTTCAGGGCAATGAAAGTTTCCCCATCTGTAACAGAACTCGTTAACGTTGGCCCCAGCATGACAATGGCACTGTCCGTCTCTCCCCTTGGCTAAAATACACTCTCTGCCTCCCATCCTATATAATAAGAGGGAATATGCAAATTGTCTCCTCACCCAGGAGTTTGGCCTGAGTGTGACCAGCCCCCCAACCGCACTCGGCGCCCCCCCCAGTCCTCCTCACCCCCATGGGGCAGCCGACCCTACCCCACCTGTGCACGAATTCGTGCACCAGGCCTCTAGCGAATATAATAAGGGACGATAATAAAACTATCTGAGCACGAGCCAATCAAATAGCCAGGGAGGCAGGATCGGTGCTACCCCACGCAGCACCACCAGGGGGCGCTGTTCCTTACCCTGTTACTAGCCGGACTCCCTCACCTTCCCAGGCCCGGACGGGCTTTACTGAACCCCGCCCCTCCCCAGTAATGGGCTATCCCTCTCGCCCTCCTTTTCCCAGTGGGGTCTCCCCGTCCCCCCAACAGCCATCAGCCCCCCCCCCCCTCCCCTGGGCTCACCCCGAAGTAGTTGCGGGGCACGTAGCCCTCCTGGCCGTGCAGCGCGGCCCACCACCAGTCCGTCTCCTCCGGGCCGTCCCTGCGCAGCACCGTCACCGACTCGCCCTCGCGGAAGGACAGCTCGTCCCCGAACTCGGCGCTGTAGTCCCAGAGCGCGTACACCATGCCGTTGTGCATCAGCCCCATGCTCTGCTCCACGTCTGCAACCGGAAGGGCGGGCAGGGCGGTGAGGGCAGGCCCGGGGGGCTGGGACACTCAGGGACACGGGACAGGCACAGGCCTGGGGTTGGTGCTGCCCCAGCTCGGGGGGTCGGGGGAGAGAGAGGAAGCCACCTGAGCTGGAGTCAGCTGCCAGGACTGGGAGTCTCTAAAACTGGAGAACGTTGGGGTGCCTCAAGCTGGCCCAACTCCCAAGACAGGGCCAGAGGCCTCCATGCCTCTTGTACAGTGAGCCCCCCTTCCAGCTGTTACATTCCCTCCGGACAGTAAGAGATAGAGTCGTCTGCGCTCCCCCCCACCCCCGCCATTTAAGGGGTACAGTCTCCACAGAGGGCTCCTTCACATGGTACAGCCCTGCTCCGCCTTCCCCTCCGCAGTCCCATCTCCCCTCTCCCGATGATGCAGTCCACACCACTCCACCTCCCTAAGTGATGAAGTTTCCAAAAAGGCTGCAGAAAGCTCTCTGGATGGCACAGCCCACCCACACCTCCGCCCTGCAGCCCACCACCTCCCGCCTCTTCAGCGCTGCAGCCTCGGAGTTCCGATTTCTCCCCCCCTCCCTCCCGGTGCGCTGGCCAGCCTCCGCCCTCACAGAACTCTCCGTGCTCCGTCAGTGCTCCGTCAGGGTGGACAGGACAAAGGTGAATGGCCCACCCCCTCCCCGGAGGCCACAGCCCCTCCTCTCTCTGCTGAACATCTACTTATCCACAAATGGTCAGATCCCCTCTGCCCAGTCACCTAGGGCCGATGTCACAGCCCGTGGCTCTCACCCACCTCTGACACAGCAGACACAGCAGGCACAGCTGGCACAGCTGGCTTGCCTCGCCCTCGAGGCTCCTCTCCTAAACGCCCAGTCCCAGTCCCAGCCCCGTCCTCCAGCCTGCCTTACCCATCAGTTAAGTTCCTAATCCTGCCCTATGCCCCTCCAGGTGCGTGTGCACACCCCGGGGTCCAGCCTGCCCAGTTCCTCACGTACTTGGTGAGGTGAGGCGCCCCCCTCCTGGAGGGACATGGTACAGTCTCCTCTCTCCCTACAAGTGGAGGAGTCCCCAAGCCCCTCTGCAGAAGCCATGGCTGCTCACCCACCAGCTGCGTGCACTGGATCTCCCACGGGTAGTACAGGCCACCTGCCCGGCCCCTCCTATGCCAGGGAGATGGCATAGAGGGGGCCAGGAAAGTCCAGCCCCTCCTTCCCCCTCCGTGAGAAAGGAGATGAACTCCGCAACTCCTAGGACCACTTTTCTCCCCAGTGGAGTCCAACTTGCAAGACACAGCCCCCACGGTACCTCTCTCCCTCCCAGGTAGCACCCTCTGCCTCCCACCCCCTGCTTGCACCTGGGGGCCTGAGCTACATGGCTGGAACAGACCCCAAGTCCTCTCTCTGACCAGTGTGCGTGGCATCTTCGGGCCTCTCCCCTGCCCTCTCCCCCTTCCCCTCCCCCTTCCGAGGCGGCTCCGCCCACCAGCCCACAAACAGGCCCCGCCCACCAGCCCGCCGCAGGCCCCGCCCCGCCTCGCACCTGCCAGGTACGTGGCGCAGTCGGCGTAGCCCTCCCGGTAGGGGTCGCACTTCTCGATGGCGGTGGCGCCGTCGCTGAGCGTGGTGGCGAAGATGGCCGCGCCGTGCTGCACCAGCGCCGTGCAGATGGCCGTGTCGTTGCAGGAGGCGGCGCAGTGCAGCGGGGTCCTGGGCGGGGAGGCGGGTGAGCGGCCGCCCGGTCCCGGTCCGCCGCCGCCGCCCCCGCCCGCCCCGCCCCCGCGGGCCCCGCTCACCAGCCGTGGCTGTCGGGGGAGTTGACGTTGGCGCCGGCCGCGATGAGAAAGTCCACGATGGGGTAGTTGGCGCCGCAGATGGCGTTGTGCAGGGCGGTGATGCCCTCCTCGTTGGGCTGGCTCGGGTCGTTCATCTGGGCGCCCAGAGAGCCAGGCTCAGTCCGCGCCTCCGCGGTCCCGCCTGCCCCGCCGCCCCGCCGCCCCGCGCCCCGCCGCCCCGCGCCCCGCCGCCCCGCGCCCCGCCGCCCCGCGCCCCGCCGCCCCGCGCCCCGCCGCCCCGCGCCCCGCCGCCCCGCGCCCCGCCGCTCACCTCCTTCACCGCCTGCTGCACCACGTCCAGCTCCCCGGTCAGCGCCGCGTCCAGCAGCAGCACCAGCGGGTTGAGCCGCGCTCGGCGGGCCTTGCGCGGAGAGCCTGCCTTCCGCAGCACCGAACGCATCTCCTGGGCGACAGGGTGGGGGCGTCAGTGACTTCCAAAAGTTTGGGAAAGAAATGCTCAAAATGTTAAGCCAGAGTTCTCTCTGAGTGCTGTGATTTTGGGGTCTCTTAAAAAAAAAATTAATTAATTAATTAAAAAAATATATATATAATATATGTATCATATATATATATATATAATTGATTTTTTACAGGGGCGAAGGAAGGATAGTTAGAAACATCGATCAGAGAGAAATATCAATCAGCTGTCTCTTGCACACCTCCTATAGGGATGTGCTCGCAACCAAGGTACATGCCCTTGACC